TGCAGGGGGCGGGGGTTGGAGGCGGCTTCACCTTTTCTCTCGGGTGGCTTGAAGATGTCTGCTGGGAAGGACACGAAGGACTCCAAGCCTCTCGGGAGCTCGTCCTGAACGGCCTCGAACCGCGGCACGCGGGCACCCGTGAAGTTGAACTTGTCAAAGACATCGACTGCAAGAACTGGGGGACAGAGGTCAGTCACGCACGATGTGGACCCAAAGTCACTCGATGTCTGCCACGCTGCCACGCTGACACTGAGCAGCCAGCTCTTCTCAGGACTGGAATCTGAACTCAGATCCTTGACTGGCTAGGCCGTGGCTCTTCCATTTGAGCCAAGCCTCCACCCCTTTTGCCCAGGCTTTCTAGGGCCTTGCTTCTTGGCTGGCCAGCAAACACAAGGACTCTGTGGGTTGGCATCATGGATGCCTAGCCCTGCCAGGAGGAAGGCCCCTGCTGTGGAGTGGCTTCTCCGGCTTTGGTGGGAGGTCTAGGATGGGTGCAGCTGCGCTTGAATTTCTCTGCCTACAGGGAATGCCCCCTGCTGTCTGCTTCTGCCGACCACCCCGTCCTTCACCTCTGGCCTCTAACGCTCCCTGTGCAGGGAGCCTGGGGGTCAATGTGAGCCACCAGCCTCCCCAAGAACCCCCACACCTGGGGGTCACAGACGAGGAGCGGGGCACAGAGCCTGTGCCTCCCTTTCCTTGGTGGTGGAAGGAAGGCCACAGCCCCACCTGCCTCGCCGGGGGGGGGGGGGGCGGCGCCCGCCGGCGGCCCTTACTCATGTTGGCGGTGACGATGACGAAGGGCCTGAGGTAGGTGCGCCTCACGTTGCGCGCCACGGTGCTGAAGTAGGCCTCGAAGCGCTGCAGCAGCTGCGCGGCCCCTCCCTGGCTCCGCTGGATCTGCTCCCACGACGCCCTGGTGGCCGGCGCCAGGAGGGCGCTGCCCGCCTGGACCACATCCTGGCCAGACAGACAGACAGCACTCAGCCTCCGGTGGAGGCCTGGTCACGCGGCAGAAGCAAGCCGGCTTCTAGGAAGCGGTCGGCTGGCCAGGACCAGGCTGGGCCCGGGTCGGGAGGAGAGACGGCCGGGGACGTCATCGCCGAGGCCACGCAGCCAGGAGGGTGCCTGCGGGGTTTCCCTGCACCCCCGAGACGTGCCGCGAGGCCCAGGGGCACGGGCACGGGAACCGCGGCGATTGGCCGTGCCAGGGAGCGCGGGGGCCCCCGGTGACCCCGCAGGGATGCGTGGTGTGGCGCGTGCTGGTGCGCGGCAGGGAGCCAGCGCGCGGCCAGGGCCGGGGGCACAACCCAAGGTGGAAAGCCGTGTGGAAACTTGTTCTGGAAGATCCCCAGGTGGAGAAGCAACGCCAGCATCATGCTCTCGGGCCGGGAGGCGATCTGAGCAAGACCTGCCGAGGCCCGGGGCTCTGCATAGCGGGGCAGGGCCTGGAGGGGACCCCGAGGCGGCTCTGTGCATAGCTGGGGTGCAGGGGCACCCTGTGGGCTGAGGCAGGGCCTGGAGGGGACCCCGAGGCGGCTCTGTGCATAGCTGGGGCGCAGGGGCACCCCGTGGGCTGAGGCAGGGCCTGGAGGGGACCCGAGGCGGCTCTGTGCATAGCTGGGGCGCAGGGGCACCCCATGGGCTGAGGCAGGGCCTGGAGGGGACCCCGAGGCGGCTCTGTGCATAGCTGGGGCACAGGGGCACCCCGTGGGCTGAGGACAGGGCCTGGAGGGGGCCCCGAGGCGGCTCTGTGCATAGCTGGGGCGCAGGGGTATCCCGTGGGCTGAGGACAGGGCCTGGAGGGGGCCCTGAGGCAGCTCTGTGCATAGCTGGGGCGCAGGGGCACCCCGTGGGCTGAGGCAGGGCCTGGAGGGGACCCCGAGGCGGCTCTGTGCATAGCTGGGGTGCAGGGGCACCCCGTGGGCTGAGGCAGGGCCTGGAGGGGACCTGAGGCGGCTCTGTGCATAGCTGGGGCGCAGGGGCACCCCGTGGGCTGAGGCAGGGCCTGGAGGGGACCCCGAGGTGGCTCTGCGCATAGTGGGGTGCAGGGGCACCCCGTGGGCTGAGGACAGGGCCTGGAGGGGGCCCCGAGGCGGCTCTGTGATGCGCACTGCCGTTTCTACACACCCGGCCCGCAGCGCATCCCTCGCCAGCCCCTCCATGGGACACAGCTGGGGGCCGACGGCTTCCTAGGTGCGGGATAGGCGGGGCTTGAGGGAGTGGGAGGAGTCAGCAAAGAGCACGCGGGGGGACCGTGGTGTCCACAGCACAGGAGGACACGGTCAGTGATGCTGTGGGACAGCCCATGCCCATACTCGGTGGGTGTGGGTGCACCATGAACACTGGGCCCTCCGCTTACAAGCTCTGCCTCGGTTTCCTTACCTGCCAGGTGAATGGGTAGGAGACACTGGAAGGGATGGGGGAGAGATACCACCCTGAAAGCTGGCACAGAGGCACCAGCGGCTCAGGCCTGTCATCCCAGCTACTCAGGAGGCTGAGGTCTGAGGATCGTAGTTCCAACCCAGGGAGGAAAGTCTGTGAGACTCACCTCCAGGGAACCACCAGAAAACTGGAGGTGGAGCTCCAAGTGATAGAAGGCTAACTTTGAGCAAAAAAGCTTGGGGACAGAGCCCAGGCCCTGAGTTCAAGCCCTACAACTGACACACGCACAAAAAGCTAGTAGTAGAGTTGTGGTTCAAGTGGTAGAGTGCCAGCCTAGAGCAAAAAAGCAAGAGTGTGAGGCCCTGAGTTCAAGCTCCAGTAGAAGCACAGAAAAAAAGACAAAGGGCACTATGGGCAGCGGTCCCTCACTGTTGGACGCTCCAGGCCGTGGCTGCCCTTGTCAAAGCATGTCTAACGGCTGCTGGGTCTAGGCCCCTGAGGCAGGGACACCAAACGTGACGGACTTTCACGTGGGCCCCAACTCCCGCCCCCCGACGCCGTGGCTCCACACCGCACACGCCGGCTGCGGCACAGGCCTCCTCGTACCTGGTGGAAGTTGACGTCGCGCGTGGCGGCCAGCTCGAAGCCCTGCTGCTGGCTCTCATGCTGCAGGACGCGGGCCAGCAGCTGGTAGGCTGTGCGCACGTCATTGCTGAAGAGCACGCCGCCCTGGTGCGTGGCGTTCCGCAGGGCCCTCGCCAGCCTCAGGGACCCGTCGCCGTCCATCTGCGTCTCGTTGCGGCTCAGCTTGTCGTTCTGGAAGGAGGGAGACGCCGCCGCTGCTGCTGCCCCAGGCCTTCCCGAGAGAAAGGCACTACTTTCTGGTGGAATTATCCTAGAAAATTATTCTAGGGAAAGAAAAATCCTAGTGCCCAGAAATGGCCGTGGGCTGCTGTCCACGGCAGGAAAAAGGGGATCTCACGTGAAAAAGACACCAGGTGACTAAGTCTAGCAGATGAAACTCCCCAATCCTCAGGCTAATACAGGCGGATGTGGGAACTCTATCTACAGAACCAAGAGACGCCACAGATGCACTTGTGTGTGTCCAGCTCGGAGGCCCGCCAGAATCAGGGAGCCCGGCCTGGCCCGGGCCTCTGACCAGTAGCACTGGCACCCTGGCGGTCCCCTGACTGCATGCCTGTGCCAACCTCCTAGGTTGGTGGCCTCTGACCTACCATGACCTTGAGGTCCAGGAAGGAGCCTGTGGTACAGTTGAAGAGCTCCGGGGGCAGCCAGCCCTTCTCCCCGCTGCAGTGCCGAATGGCGTTTCCTAGAGAACCAGAACATGTGCAGAAACAGAAATGTGGACCACAGCTGGAAAGTACTTATACCCCAGCACTGAGCAGACCCCGGGACCCTGGGAGGCCGGGCTGCACAGACCCACGACCGCAGCACAGAAGGCCCGGCTGCAGACCCCCAGCGTGAGGCTGACATGTCCGCCCTCCTTCCACCCTGGGGCCACCTCCAAAGGTACTGTGATGTTTGCAACCTGGCCCCGGATGCCCAGCAAATACAAGCAAACGCCTGGGAGGTGAGGGGCCAGCCACGTGCCCAGCCCACTGCGGCTGGTCTGCACTCCCAGTGCCCCTTCCTGCGTGGTACCACTGCGGTTGCACCTCACAGCCCAGTGCAGGGTGGTGAGGGGACTCGTCCAAGGCCCCGGCAGAGCAGCGGGGCCCACGGACAGAGACAGAGCTCACCACCCACGTGCGACGGCAGCTGTTCTTTTGTTTTCTTTTTATGTCATCATGAGGCTTGAACTCAGGGCCGAGGTGCTATCCCTGAGCTCTTTTGCGCAAGGCTAGAGCTCTAGCACTTTGAGCTGCAGCTCTACTTCCAGTTTTCTGGTGGTTAATTGGAGATAAGAATCTCACGGACTTTCCTGCCAGGCTGGCTCTGAACTAACTGTGACCCTCAGATCTCAGCCTCCTGAGGATTTTAGGTGGGAGATGCCGGCGCCCAGCCCACACATCGCTTTCCCAGGCCTGTGCCGGTCCACTGTTCTTCCCCGAGGGCATCCTGGACCGTGGGACTTACCCACTGATCCTTTCGGGCATGGCACTGCGGCCGGTTGCCCAAACTTGGTCTGTGGCCACCAGATGCCAGCCTCAAATGCTCTGGGACACCCGCTGTAGATCACTGGGGGACAGAGGAAAAGACAGGACTCAGCTCAGCACCCTGTGTTCACCAACAGGAGCCCCTCCCCCGACCGTGCCCCTGGCAGCTTCCTGTGCCCACTGGTATCAGAACTGGCTTCACCCACAGCCTCAAGAAGGCCAGGCTGGGGCTGGGAAGGTGGCTCAATGGTAGAGCGCTTGCCTTGCATGCATGAGGCCCTGGGTTCGATTCCTCAGCACCACATAAGCAAAAAGAAAAAAGCCAGAAGTGGCGCTGTGGCTCAAGTGGTAGAGCGCTAGCCTTGAGCTGAAGAGCTGAGGGACAGCGCGCAGGCCCAGAGTTCAGGCCCCACGACCAGACCAAAAAAAAAAAAAAGAATGGCCAGGCTCTAGAAGGCCGAGGAGAACCTAGAACATGCGGTTGCCGGCATGCAGGCACGGGCTGTGTGCCTGCCGCAGTGTGGCGGGAGGGGTGGGGGAAGGAGGACCTTCGCAGCCCAGCGCGGTGACTTCGGCGAAGGGGCTGTCGCAGCGGTTGCACTGGCGGCCGATGACGCCCGGCTTGCAGGCACACTGTCCCGTGTCCATGTTGCAGGCCCGGCTGCGGGAGCCATGCGGGAAGCAGTCGCATGGCAGGCAGGCGTCCTGGGCGGGGGGCTTGTAGTAATTCTCCTGCAAGAGCCAAAGCGCGTGTGATGCTGCACACAGGGACCATGGAGCAGCCCCGCGGGGCCCAGGCCGCACAGTAGCCCGACTCCCTCCACGAGGGGTTGGGGGACAAGCCCCCCCCCCAGGTCTGAGCTTCCTGAGTAGCTGGGATTACAGGTGTGAGTCACTGGTACACAGCCTTCATCTTTAGTTTCTATGGTGCTGGGATGGAATGCAGGGCCGTGTGCACATTAAGAGTCGGAGCCGCATCTTCAGCTCTTAACATTTAAAATCTTCATCATTACTGAAGGCCAGCTTGGAAAAAAGCAGGACCATGGCCAACTATGCAGACCTTAACTGGTGTTGGATATGGGACATCCTTCACAGAAATCTCTAGATCTCTTGTGACCCACTAGGTGTGGGGGCAGAGAACAAACCTGTGAGGATTTAACCGGCAACAATCCCAGTTCTCACGCAGGGGTGAGTATGTGAGGCAGCCAGGCTGTGTGCACAGACACAGAAGAGCGCACAACACCCACAGACACGCGTGCAAGGCTGTGTGTGTGACAGTGAGGGAGAGCAGGTATCTACAAAGGTAGGCGGGGTGTGTGTACAGTGGACGAGTGTGAACATGTGTGCATGCACTCTCAGGGATGTGTGTGTAGGATTCTGTGTATGTGCACGTGCATTGCATAGGATTGTACATGTGTTTCATGTGACAATGTATACACGAGTTTTGTGTGGGATTGTGTGTACACCTGTGTTTCATGTAGGATTGGGCATGCATGTGTGTTTTATGTAGGACTATGTATACATACGTGTTTTGTGTAGGATTGTACCGTACATATTTCATGTAGGATTGTGGGTACACGTTTTGTGTGGGATTGTATATACACAAGTTTTTCACAGGACTGTATATGTGTGTGTGTGTTCCATGTAGAAAAGTGCACACACGTGTTTCATGTAGGATTGCACACACGTTTCATGTAGGATTTTGTGCGTACATGTGTTTCATGTAGGATTGCAGACACGTTTCGTGTAGGATTTTGTGCATACATGGGTTTGTGGATAATTGCACTTACACGTGTGTTTCATGAAGGACTGTGTGCACACGTTTCCGGCAGGATCGTGTGTGCACACGTTTCGTTTTGCGTACGATTTTGTGTGCACGTGTGTTTGTGTAGGGCTGCATATGTGTGTCTGTTCCATGTAGGATTGTATGTGCACACGTTTCATGTAGAATTCAGTGCGTGTGTTTTGTGTATGATTGCACACGTGTGTGCTTCATGTGGGACTGCATGCACACACGTGTGTTGTGCAGCGCCGTCCCTGGGCTCGGGACGGAGCAGGGCTGGCCGTGCCGGGCGCCGCACCTTGCACTGGCACTGGCCGTTGGTCTTGTTGCAGTCGGGATCGAAGCCCTGGCTGACGGCACAGTGGCAGGGGCCGCAGATGGGGTTCCCCCACCAGCCTTTGGGGCATGGAAGGTCCACTCTGGTGGGAAATAAGATGGCATTGGAGGTCTACAGAAGAAAGGGTAGAGCCTGCCAGGGCCTGAGCAGGCTGGCATCCCATCGCCACATCACCCCCAACCATCCCTCTCCCCCTCCCCCTCCCCCTCTCCCTCCCCACACCTCCCTCCTGCCCCCCGGCACACCTGGTGTGTGCCTCTCAGGGTCAAAGCCACCCAGAGGAGAGCCAGGTGGACGGGGAGGAGAGGCTCTGGGGTCGGGAGGCGGCGCACGGGGCCCTTACTTGTTCTCGCAGTACGGCCCGTAGTGGCCCGGTCCACACTCGCACGCATAGCCCCGCGGGGAGCCCGGGGGGCGCACGCAGGCCGCGGCGTGCTTGCAGGGGTTCAGGTGACAGGCGTCCACGCACTTCTGTCCAAAGTACCCTACGGGGACAGGGCCGCTGTCACCTCTGCGTGAGGCCATCTCAGACGCTGCGGCGAGGGCAGAGGGCGTGGCAGGGAGGAGCCCAGCCGCAGGAAGCCAGGCGCTCAGCGGGCGGGACTTGGAAAGGGAAGACACCTGTCCAGGCTTTCAGGGAGGCTGTGAGCTGGGGTGGAAGAGGGGGTCCCCAGCCACCCCGGGAAGCAAATGGAGGGTGAGTGCCCAGACCCCCAACTTCAGGGGTGACGTGTGCTTGGCGGGGAAGGCGTGGCGCCGCGGCCCGGCGCCGGCTCTCACCCCGGCGGGGGAGGGGCACCGGGAGCCCACCTTTGTCACACACGCAGGAGTAGCCGTCCCAGGTGTCCTGGCAGCGGCTGTGCGGGGGGCAGGGGCCCGAGGCGCACGGGTTCTCCACGCTGCAGCCGTCCCGCACCCGGACCTTCAGCGCGTCATTCATGTTCAGCGTGGCAATGTTGGTGGACGTCTCCCCCATCCTCACCCCCTGCATTAGAGTGGGCAGCTGCAGTCAGTCCTGGGACACGAGGGTGGAGGAACCCCACGGGGGCCCCAAATCCTCCCCCATCCTCCACGAGACACTTCCTAAGCCGAGCGCCTGGGGCTCCCCGGGGAGGCCGACGTTGGGTCATCTGAGAGGATCAGGAGCAAAGGCAGGACTGAGTCACTGCACAAACCGTTCCTGCCAGCCAGAGCTGGTGCCTCACGCCCGTCAGCCCAGTTACTCATCGGGAGGCTGCGGTGTGAGGATCGCAATTTGAAACCAGCCCAGGCAGGAGAGTCCATGAGACTCTTACCGCCAACAAACCAGCAGAAAGCCAGAAGTGGGACCCAGCTCAAGTGGTAGAGCACCAATTTTGATTTAGAAAAAGAAAAACCAAGTGAGAGCACAAGTCTCTGAGTTCAACAGACAGACAGACAGACAGACAGATGAACAGACAGACAGACGAACAGACAGACAGACAAACAGACAGACAGACAAACAGACAAACAGACAGACAGACGAACAGACAGACAGACGAACAGACAGACAGACGAACAGACAGACAAACAGCTCCTGTGGCAGCCACTTCAGCTGGGCTGGAACACACTGGGGGCGGGGGGGACAATGTGGGAGCTGGGAGGGGGTCTAAGGAGGAACAGGAGGCCCTAAGGCTGGGGCTCAGCCTGCCTGGTTGGCAGCCCGATCCGGGGCACTGGAGGCCCAGGCGGCCCCTGAGGCGGTCCCGGCCCCTGCGGTACCTGCATGCAGCCTCGGAAGCCGTGGCGCACGGAGACCTGGTCCTCAGACACGCCCCCGACCACCACGCTGTGCATCTTCAGCCCTGGGAGCTGGTTCCCGATCTGCACCGTGTTCTGAGCAGAGAGAGGAGCGGCGTGCTGACGGTGACACCAGGTCACCGCTCCCCGGACGGAGGTCCCGGGCCTCCACCCTCGGCCTGGCTGAGTGCAGAGGGCCAGGGGACGGACCAAGGGGCCGTGGGGGCACGGGCAACCCTCAAGCCCTGTAATGGGCACACCGGGCAGGCCATGAGCGAGGGCGGGGAGTGGGCAGGCGGGCGGAGGGAGGCAGGAAGGCGGGCCTGCTCACCTGGTCCATCCCGTAGTCCAGGGTCACGACCGCCAGGTACTTGATGTCCTTGCCCTCCTTGGCGCTCCGCAGCTCTACCAGGAGGTGGTGCCACGCCCCGTCGGTCACCCGGAACCGGGACAGCTGCAAGGACGCCACATCGGAGGAGCCGTAGGACACCTCAAACCGGATGTAGTGGTTCAGGATCTGCGGGGCAGAGAGACGCCCCTGACGCTCCGACCATCAAAGCACTGCGGTGTCTGAGCAGCGGCTGCACAAACTGACCCGGGCTGTGGGCTTGTTTTGGGGGTGCTAGGGACTCGACGCAAGGCCCCATGCTTGCTGGATATGCACACCACCACGTGGGCGCCCCGGCCCTTTGTGCTCCCCCCTTTTTTGCCCAGACTGGCCTGTTCAGATGGGGTCTTGCTAACTGTTTGCCCTGGAGGGTCTCAAATGACAATCTGATCTGAAGAGCTGGGATTACAGGTGTGGACCACTGTACTCAGCTAAAGCCAGGCAACGTTTCAATCCATCCAGAGCCAATCTCTCACGTCTAATGACATGTTTGAAAAACAGCCGAGCTCAGCGCTGCGAGCGGTTGAAATGGGAAGTCCTGCAGCAATGCAGCCAGGGTGAAGTTCAGGCAGAAAACACAAGTTCCTCCAGAAACACAAGGTAAGCGAGACAGAAAGCCTTCAGTGCAGGGTGCAGGGGAACTCCAGGTACAGCAGAACGTCAGCCACAGCCAGGGACAGCAGGACACTGGGCACCACTCTGCAGGCTGCTGCGGGTGCTGACAAGCCTGGGGCGTGGGGGGCAGGGCGTCCAGCCAGGCTCCCTGGTCCCTGGACTGCAGGCTGTAAGACCCAGGGCTCTGCACTTTTGTCGGTCATGGGGTTTGAACTCACAGCCTGGGAGCTGTCCCTGAGCTCTTCCACTCAAGGCTAGCACTCTGCCACTTTGAGCCACAGCTCCACTCCTGGTTTCCTGATGGTTATTGGAGCCGGCCCGGGCTGGCTTTGAACCACAACCCTCCAATCTCAGCCTCCTGAACAGCTAGGGAGTAAACATGCAGAGCAGCTCTTGCTGCAACGGGCCCAGCTTGGACTCCTCGGTCTGAAGGTGCTAATACGCTCTGTAAAGACGGTGCCCAGGGGCAGCCATGGCCGATAACAACACCTCTGCCCCGGCTTCCGACTCTCTCCAGGTTTTCAATACAAACTCAATAATGATCATATTGATGACGATGATGATGATACATAACCGCGCACATGAGAAGATAAGACAGCGTGCCTGAAAGCCAGGAGTGAAGAGCAAAAACAGACCCCTCCTCCAGTCTGTGTCGTTTACAGAACTGACACATGAAAACCTCGCAACGGCTCAGCCTGAGAGCAGCTCAGCACGCGCTCACGCTCACGCAGAACCACAGACACCCACTAGCTGTGCGGTGTGGAAAAATCTCCACATATTGCAAAGCAAAGCTCAGATTGTACAGCCCAAACCCCGCTGGACTTGCTGTAAGAAACACCAAGATGCTTTTCTAGAAAATGCCGCAAACGTGCTAACTCAGAAATAACCTACAGATCTCAGACAAGTGCAGAATGGGTATCAGAAAAGGCTGTTTGTTGCTGTTGTCCTGTTGCTTTTTGTGTTATCCTGGGGCTTGAACTCAGGACCTGGGCACTGTCCCTGAGCTTTTACACTCAAGGCTAGGACTCTTACCACTTGAGCCACAGCTCCAATTCTGGATTTTGGTGGTTAACTACAGATAGGAGTCTCACAGACTTGTCTGCCCAGGCTGGCTTAGAACCACAGTCCTCAGATCTCAGCCTCCTGAGTAGCTAGGATTATAGGTGAGAGCCAGTGGAGCTTGGTAGAAAAGCTATTTGCTTTTAAATCAAAGAGAACTGGACTATAACTTGTTTTCAAGTTTCTCTAGAATAACTTTTTTTCCCCCTTTTTGGCAGTGTTCACGTTTGAATGCAGACGCTTGTACTTGCTGAGCCATTCCCCAACCTAATCTTTTGCTGATTCCTTTTGAAACATCTCCCTTCCTGCCCAGACACGCGCCTGCGCTGCCCTCTGCTGCGTTGGTCTCCCGTGCGTGTTGGGGGTCACAGGCATGCCCTGCGAAACGGGAGTCCTGCAGGCTTTCCTGCGGGCTGGCTGGGAACTGCGACCTCGGGATCACAGCACTCGCCAGTGTGCCCAGCTACGGGATGGCCTGAACCACATGCCTCCCCTGGGGGAAGCCTCTCACAGAGCTGGGATTACAGGTGTGAGCTGCCGTGCCCAGCTTTGCCTTTTAATGTTCATTTCCTTTCATTCTACAAGTTTTCCTTGCCGCCTCCTCCTCTGTCCTTGCTAATGATCAGGCCAGTGGTAGGAAGGCCGCCATGTCTAGACAGAAGCAGTGGCTATGATAAGCCACAGGGGCTACCACCACCTCGTCCCGTCGCAACTTCAAGACGGGAGTCAGCGACCCCAGGATTGCCCCATCCAACAGGGATCTGAGATCAGATCCTTGTTCTGCCTGCGTGGGTTCAGATGGGCCCCCGGGAAGCTCCTCAGGCCTAGACAAGGCCCAAGAGCTGAATGCATCTCTAGAAAGGACCAGAACGTTCCTGTAACACCCACAACCTGCCTATGGGAACTGTCCTGGGCTGCGCTTCCTGCCTCCCAGCCCGGCTCAGGGAAGGCGGGCTGGCCCCTGGCAGAGCCCGGGCCTTGTGGATGAGGGAGCCCACCCCGTGGGACCACGCTGTCCGCGGAAGAGGCATGGAGACCGGGCTGCCAGTCTGCAGGGAGCTGCCAGGCATCGGCCAAAGCCAAGAGGGTGCGGGGGCTCTCCCCACGGAGACGCTGCTCACGTGCCTGCCCTGCACTCCCAGCAAGTCTGTCAACTCACACCAGAGAGGAACACGAGAGCCCCTGATGCGGGCGGTACCCCGAGACCCAGGGGGCGCCCCGGATGCTCTGTGGGCCTCAGGCTGCGCTGAGAGCCATGCTGGGCCGGGACCGGCTGCGGTGAGATGCAGAGGGCCTGTCCTCTGGTCTGGGCTCTCCTCAGCCTCCTCTCGCCCACCACGCAGGGTCCTCGCCCACTAACCTCTGACGGGCCGGGCCGGCCCTGGGCCCTCAGAGCCACGTGTGAGCGGGCATCTCCCTGCACCCCGTGCGGAGCGGGAGCGAGTGTGGGTGCCCCCCGGGGTCTGTCCCTGACATCGCCAGCCTCTGCCCCGGCCTCCAAAGCGAGAACCGCAAGCCGGTCCAAGAGGGACTTCCCAATCAGAGTCACCGTCCCCAGGCTGTTATCCTGGGACAGGGGGCGCCCATGTCCAGGGGAGACCTGTAGCGTGGCAAGAGGCTGATCAAAGACAGCAACTGTGCAGGAAGGAGGGGAGGGAGGAGGAGGGAAGGAAAGAGGGGAGGAAAAGAAGGAGGGAAGGAAGGAAGGGAGGGAAACGAGGGGAGGGATGGAGGGAGGAGCCTCTGGTTGTTCTAAGGTGGAGACAATAAACGCACTGTGGGAAGGAAGTGTAAACACACCCAGCTCCCTTCACATGCACTCACACATGCACACACGCACACACGGACACATGGACAAACATACATATGCATGCACAGACTGGTATATAGATACACACATCCACACACAGATACACACACGTATGCACAACGATGTCTTCATCTACACACATACACACATCCGCACAGGCACGTGCTCAGACATACACACATGTATGCACAATGTACAGACACATGCACGCATATGCATACATATACACATACACATGGGCATGCTCCGCAGACACCCACACAGCGACAGACACATGGAGGCATGCTTGCACATACGTATACATACTTGGAAAAAGCCTAGAAGGAAGACACATCCAGTGACAGAATTCCTTCAAGCAAGATGGATGGGCTTGATCAGGCCCAACTTTCCTAGGAGCCTATGACTCCCAAGGCTGCTGCACCAGGAAAGAACAGGTCTAGGGGCTCCCATGAACCTCCAGGAGGGGGAACTGTGGGGCGCTTGGGGAGCCTGGTGCTGATCAGTGAGTGATGTGGACGGCGGCCGACACAGGAACATCCGTACCGCGGGACACAGGGAGGTGGGGCCGTAGGCCTGGGGCTGGGAGGGGCAGTCATGATGGACAGCTGTCAAAGCAGTGGTTCCCACAAGAGAAAGCAACCGGGCTGGGCACACGCCTGGAATCCCAGCTACTCGGGAGACTGAGGCCTGAGGATCATGGTTTGAAGCCAGCCTGCGTAGCAAAGTGTGATTCTTATCTCCCATAAATTACCCTTCTCCTCCAAATAGCCAGAAGTGGGGCTGTGGCTCGATTGATGGAGCACTAGCCTTGAGCAAAAGAGCTCAGGGACAGCACCCAAGCCCTGAGTTCAAGCCCTAAACATACAAGCACACACACACACACACACACACACACACAAAGCAACCTGCCATTGGTTCTCAATGAAGAATCTCTGGATCTTAGAAGATCTAAGTGGAAACTATTTGTGATGTTAAATAAATAAAATAATAATAATAAAAAAGCAAGGGAGGAAGTGGCGCTGTGGCTCAAGCAGTAGAGCGCTGGCCTTGAGCTGAAGAGTGCAGCGCCCAGGCCCAGAGTTCAAGCCCCACAACCGACAAAAAAAAGAAACTGTTCATTTGGCTTTGTTTTAAAACTGCTACGGTGGCCCAGGTGGTGCTGGACCCTGAGGGCCTCCTGCCTCAGCTTCCCAAGTCCTGGGATTATAGGAGTCCCTCACCGTGCCCGGCAAGGAATTCTGTTATCTGGCGTTTCAACGAAACAAACAGTAAAGACCGCACGCAAACGAACAAACGCTCAGAAAACACATATGGGAGGCATGCAACAGGTCCCTGGAACCTTCTGGCTAGCCACCTCCCAGACACAGTGACAATGGTGACAGAGCTGTCGGCGCTGGCTTGCCCAGAGGCCCGCTACTCCCCCCCCCCCGCCCCAGCGGGAACTGCTGCCATCAGCTCTGAAATACCTAAAATCTAGCCAGAAAACAGGCCTGACCCCCGTAGCCTGGGGGGGGGGGCTCCCGTCTAAGATCACCCGGCGCGTGACCCCAGGTCTGCCTGCCTCGGGACCACGAGTCCTGTCCTGGCTGTAAGGAAGGGAAGAAAGCCCTGGAAAGGCAACCGCGGTGGGAAGCCAGGCCCCTCTCCTCCGCTGAATGGCGCGATTGTGCTCCTGCCCCGGCCGCGGCTCACATTTCCCTTCCAGCTCTGCTGGGGCGGGCGCAGGAGGTGCAGGAGTGGCGGGGGTGCCCCTGCGAGGCGCCCTGGGTAACCCCACGCCCGGCCCCCTCTCTCCCACCTGCCCTGCGGCCCCACGCACCTGGAGATGGAGCCCCGAGGACAGGCCCGCCGTGGCTTCTAGCAGCACGCCATCCTCCTTCTGGGTCCGGAACATGAGCCCCAGGTACCAGGGCACAGAGATGGTGATGTCCAGGTCGCTCCAGGACACCAGGCTCTCCCCGCTGAAGTGCTGGGCATGGGGCATGGCTGTGGACACAGACCACATTGCACAGGTGGAGAGAGGGCGCCAGGCCCTGGGCTGGGCGGTGGCTTCACCCGGTCCTGGGCCCTTCTCATCTCAATGCTAAGGCCCACGCGCTCTGTGACAAATCCAGCCCTCAGAGCCCAGCACTGGGTAATGCTGACCCCCACCGGGTCCTGGTGAGGCCTGGGCGCTTCGTCCATAGCTGAGGTGTGGCGAGGGTCCCGGGCTGGGGGGGCTGGGCAGCCCTGGGGCCCGAGGGGTGGGCCTGCCAGACCCTCCCACCTGTCCGGCCCACACGTAGCCCGGGAACCTAGGCAGGGGCAGGGCTCTGGGAGGGTGGGCGCTGGCACACACACCCAGCCCACAGTTCTGCCCATTGTTTCCTTCGGAAGATTCCGGGTCCTTCTGTCTACCCAGAGCAGGTGTGAGCGCACAGCCTCACACCCCGCCTCAGGAGCTGCCTGTCGGCCTGGCTGGGCCCAGGCAAAGCCACCAGTACAGGTGGCCCTTCACAGCTTGTGTATTGGGGCCCGCAGATTGCTTCCGTGCGGGACTTCTCAGAGCCCTCCATTTGCTGCCAGGCACTGGGATATCTGGAGGTGAGGGCAGTGGACACCCCGAACAGGTGTGGACAGCTCCATCCCTTCCTTATTTTCTGGTTAGTGAATTAGCAGCACTTGGCTTCCAACTCAAAGGTTTGCTTGAGCACCACCTGCAGCCCTCCCTGCTCTGGTTATAAACAGCCCACACCAGCCTGGCCGGAGATCCTCTATCTAAGCATTCCAGCTTTTCAGCTGGTCTGACCCGCACGCACCACACACCCAGCTGCCCGTACTGAGACTGCCTGGCTGGCCTCCAACCACCATCCTCCTGACCCCAACCTCCTAAGAAGCTAGGACTACAGGTGTGAGCCACAGGTGCCTGGCAGATTTATCTTAAAATTTAAGAGTGTCAATGACTAAAAAACAACAACAACAAATGCTTCAAAATGAAGTTGCTGTTCAAAACTGCCAGATCTATCTATAACCGCACAGAGGCGGGGGGGGGGGAGGGCACAGGGCAGGGAGGGATCTGAGGACTCAGCTGTTTTGTTCACCAGACGGTGCCATCTGGAAGGTGAACGGGGCCCCGCACCTCCGGCTGGCCCTGACCGGAGGAGGCGCTCCTTCTGCAGGGCTGGAGCCCCCCCCCCCAGCTCCCACCCCCTGTGCCCGGGGCAGCTGCGGCCGGGGCAGGAGCAGCGCCAAGCCCTCACCTTGCTCACAGTTCTTGCCGCCGAAGTGGAGCGGGCACTCGCACAGATACATGTTCCACCTGTTCACACAGGTGCCCCCGTTCTGGCATGAGGTCCCGTCGCAGAAGTTCCTTTGGGCGGCACAGCCTGGCAAGGCGGAGCACACAGCCAGGCCTTAGCGCAGGGGACCAGAGGCGGGCCCCCCGGGGGACCCGCCTCCTTCCCACAAGGGGCCCGATGTGAACGGAAGTGGCTGAAGCTTCAGCCAGGCGGGAACACTGGCTGTGGTCCCCGAGCTGGGATGGCTGGAAGGCTCTGCCAACCGCCAAGACTCACAGCGGCTGGTCTGGTCACCTGGTGGCACACCGACAACCCTAGGGTCGTGTGTCCCAGGGTCAGCCGATGGCCAGCAGGAGCAGGGCAGCTGTGGAGGCGCAGACCAGGCCCGGAGTGTGCAGTGGCTGGGTCCCCACCCCCACGTCCAGGAGGTGCCCATAGCTGGGCACACATCTCTAAGAAAAGACGGCTCACTAGGGACGGACAAGCAGCCCTCCCCAGGGTGCCTGCTGATGGGCAGCGGGTGCCGTGCCAGTCCTGTGCACCCCGGCGGCCACACATACCCGCCCTGGTGCCATTGTTGGCGATGAATCCCGCCATGTCCACACTCCGGCCGTCAATGGACAGGTTCCGCATGCAGCCGACAAACTGTCGGTTGTGCACCGGGAAATCTTCAGGTAGGTTGGGGACGCCGCCCAGGAGCAGTGGGCCGGTGAGATCCAGGGACCTGTGGGGGCACAGCGCACTCTGTATGCCCAGGGGAGGGGCAGCACGGGGCCAGCTCTGCTGCAGAAGCTGCAGCCCTGCTGCCAGGGCGGTGTCGCGGAGCAGCGCCAACGCCCGGTCGTCAGAGGCCAGAAGTCCATCCTGCTTCCGGGCCTTTCTGAGGTTCTCCTCCAGCCTCGGTGCCTCGGTTTCCTCAATCCTGACTTACTGGAGGTTTGGTGAGCCAGTGACCACTCAGCAGCTCAAATGGATGGGGAGGAGGTCATGGGGAAGGTCACTGGCTACATTAGCTTGAATGTCACTTTCAAAATGGATGCTTGCAGCTGGGCACTGGTGGCTCACGCCTGTCATCCTGGTCTGAGCAGGAAAGTCTGGGAGACTCTTATTTCCAATTAAGTACCAAAAAACAAAAAGTGAGAGGTAGAGCTATGGCTCAAGTGGTAGAGCGCTAGCCTTGAAGACAGACCTTGAGTTCAAGCCCCAGGGCCAGCAAGCACACACACGCACACATACACACAAGACCAAAAAGGGGGCTGGGAAGGGGGCTTCGTGGTAGGGTGCTGACCTAACCTGCATGAAGCCCTGGGTTCGATTTCTCAGTACCACATACACAGATAAACCCAGAAGTGGCACTATGGCTCAAGTGGTAGAGCGCTAGCCTTGACCAAAAGAAGCTCAGGGACAGCGCCCAGGCCCTGAGTTCAAGACCCACGACTGGCAAAAACAACACAGGCTGCTCAGGGCTGTTTGCACACACCTGTAGTGCTTAGGGGATAAGGTAGGAGGATGGGGAGTTCAAGGCCAGCCCGGGCTATGTACCACAACCCCGACCCACTCTGTGTTCAACCAGCATGCAATCAGCATCCAGTCCAGCAGGAGCGCGTGCTCGACTTTAGAATCTGGTATCACAAGCAAAAACAAACAAACAATGAAACCCGGTAATGGCCACCAGCGAACGTGTTGGGAGACCTCGGGGACCGGTGGGGAGACCGGGTGCGGGAGTGTGTGTGGGTTCTCGCTGGACGAAGCCAGGGGTCGGGGTCCAGAGAGAGGGCTGGAAGCCCGAGTCAGAGAGCTGCACTCATCATCTAGGGCTGCTGGCTTCTCTTGACCGATACTTGTAAGGGGACTTTTTCTAGAGAGTTCCATGTCTCAGACAAAAGGTCACCTGACCCACAGGAGGGAATCTGATGCCAGCCTGAGCTGGGGCTACCGAAGTGCCCTGCCTGGGCCGTCTGGGGGGCCCAGAGTGACCTGTGCCGGGCACAGGGGCACCCGTGGGGGCGGGTGCCTGGAGGTCCCTCAGAAGACTCACTTCTTCGAGCCGCTCTGGGTGCCCTGCGCAGCGCAGCTGTAGTTCCCCACATAGCCACCGAAGTGCACGGCCACGGCTGTGTCACAATCGTCCACGGTCACCACCGCCACCTTCTCCCCGGACGGCCCGTGGGGCAGGCCCAGGCGGCCGATGTTGGGCTGTGGGCACAGGAAGACCAGGGTCAGCACTGCTCCCCCAGGGAACCCTCCGTGGGCACCCCAGCCCACGCACACCGCCCGTGGGGGCCGAGGGACAAGGGACCGGGACAGCTCTCCTCCTTCCCAGTGCCCCAGAGCCCGGGGAGAGCGGCCTCGGCACACACGGCTGAGCCCAGAGGGAAAGGAGCCCGAGCTGCAGCGGGGGCCGCGGAGCTGGGACAGCCACAGCTCCAGACAGACAGACAAGGGCACGGGGGACGCGGATCAAGGACACGGGGGACGCAGGTCAAGGACGCACAGCACTGTCGCCCCTGCCTGCAGGGGGGGGTGGGGAGGACCTCAACCAGAGCAGCGGAGGGCGGGGAGGACTCTCCGAGCGCCCGGAGGAACACGGTCCTGCTCACGTCTGAGCTGCCCTGTCTTGGATTCCTCATTACACGGCCCTAGGACACAGGCATGTGCTGTAGCCTGGAAAGTTCTTCTGAACCCGTGCTCTGCTGCCCTGGGGATCCTCAGCTGGGCCCCGGCCATCCCAACCCTGTGTTCCAGGGAACCGATGCCAGCACGCACTCCCGTCCCAAAGACACTGCCCTGTGTCAAGAGCTCCCCGTTCAGGCCGGAGCCTGCCTGGCACAGGCCGTGCCGTACCCACGCTCACCTTGCCTGACGGGCCCTCCCGTCCCATGCACAGTCAGGAGACAGGGCCACTGGGCCTCCATGCCAGCCACAGTCAGACGGCACAACCGTGCCAAGCTAAGGGAGGCACAGGAGAGCCGCCCGTCACACTTGCAGCTGGGCTTCTCGTGTGTTTCTGGATCCATGCACCCCAGGTGGCTGTGGGGACCAAGCCGAAGGGGACAGGGCAGTGCTGCCAGGCCCCTCGGTCAGCACAGGACGCACGCCAGAGCTCCTTCCTGCCCACGGGAAATGCCCGCAAAATGAGGAGCCCCGATGGGCATGGTGGTAAACACCTGCAGTGAGCGTTCTGGAGGCTGGGGCTGACTTCCAGGCTGGCTACGCCCACTCCAAAAGAAAGGTAAAAACAAGGGCCCTATGCTTCTTGAGAACTGTAGGGTCAGTTTGAGCTCATCATGTGATGCACTCATGCTTTCTAACGTACTATTAAATCATCAATGCTGTGTTTTGTTTTGTGTTTACTGTGTGTGTGTGTGTGTGTGTGTGTCTGTCTGTCTGTCTGTCTGTCTGTCTGTGTGCACGTTCCCCAATACTAAGGCTTAAACCCAGGGTCTGGGTGCTGTCCCTTAGCTCTTTTGGTCAAGACTGGTGCTCTGCCAGTTGAGCCCCAGCTCAACTTCCAGCTTTTTAATGGTTGATGGGAGAACACAGTTCTGGGACTTTTCTGCCTAAGCTGGCTTTGAACCATCCTCAGCTCTCAGGCTCCTGAGTAGCTAGAATTACAAGGCTGAGCCACTGGAACTTGACTATTTTTAAAAAGTCTTAGTTTTTACAAAGGAACAAAGCGCCCATTTGGGTGGGAGATGGGGCTGGGAGTCATTGGGTTGCTGGCCACAGGTACTCATCCAGGAGGCCGAGTTGTGTGACTCCAGGGCTCATTTACCCAGGCAGGTGGAGCTGGCCTATGTGGCTGGACACCACCATCCCAGGTCTATTCCAGACCCACCGTGTCCACCCCATGCAGCTTCCCTGTACGACGTGGGGGCTTGATGGGAGAATACCGGTCCTCCCAGCATTCCCGGACTCTGAGGTCAACCCTGCGGTACACTGGACAACTGCAGGCCCTTCTTAGGCCTGCCATCTCCCTGGCGTACGCATCACCTTTTACGCTGCTGGTGAAACCACCAGGCCCGATAATCCACGTCCTTAGAGGCCGACTTCACCATTGCGCTAAGCAATACTTAGATGGTTTGGAAAAATCACCCGTTTGCTTGCTCCATAACAGCAGCCTGATTAGAAAACAGTCCATTAGGGATGCTTAAATGTTAGGTGTGATCCTGGAGGAAGATGAGCCACCCTGGCGCTGTCTCCCCAGCTGGTAATTTACACTTTGGTGATGGGAGAGACTTTCAGAGAGGGGCATAAACGGCACTTTACCCTGCTAGGCTTTAATGAAACTAAGCTGCTATTTACAAAATTGCAATTGTGGCAAACTGCTGCTTGTAATCAAACAGCTCAGCCCGGCAAGAAAAGGAAAACTGAGGGTAAAAAGACAGGGAAAAAAAATAAGCACCCACGTTTGTCTGCAGGACAGTTTCTGCTGATGGAGGCATTCCACCGGCGGCTGACTTCAGTCTGGGGCCAACGGAGCGGACCGCAGGTGGGGTCTGGGGAAAGGGAGGCTGAGGTCCCCGGCAGCCCCCCTCCCCCCACAGGGGCACTGGATTTTCTGGCAAAGCACCGAGCCATCACGGGGGAAGAGCAGAAGGGATGTAATTTAACAGCAGAGCACTTGCCTGGCAACTGCAGGGCCCTGGGTTCCACCCCAGCACTGAAAAAGAGGAAAGGTTGCGCTGGTGGCTCATGCTGGTAATCCTAGCTACTCAGGAGGCTGAGATCTGAGGACTGCAGTTCAAAGCCAGCCTGGACAGGAATGTCCACGAGACGACACCAATATAGCTAAAAGTGGAGATGTGGCTCAAGTAGTAGAGCACCAGCCTTGAGTGAAAAAGAGAGAGTGCCCAGGCTCTGATTTCAAGCCCCAGAACCGGCACACACACGCGCGCGCACACACACACACACACACAACTGTGTTACAGCTTGAAAGCCAGCACACAGAATGAAAAGCCAGTGGAAAAGACACCAGGAAATGGCAACAATGCCGGGCCCGCTTCCAATGCCACCCCTCCACCCCGCCCCACACACCCTCGCTTCTAAAAAGAAAGCAACAGGAGCTGCCCATTCCAATTTGTGGCCCAAGAGAAAGTGATCTGAGGCTCAGCGGGCCAGCACAGGTGAGGAGGATAAAAGCAGACGGGCTCTTTTTCACAAGTAAGCTGCATTTTGAGCTAGCTGCTGAAGGAGTGACTCAGGTGGCAATTTCGGAATTCTCCGTTCTTACTCCCCACTTTTGCTGGTGCCCGGCTTTGCTTGCTCACATCTCACACTCTACCACTTGAGCCACACCTCCAGCCGGGCTGTTCAATGGCTATTTGGGGGATAGATTCTTACATGGACTTTCCTGCTGGCTTTCCAGCTGGCTTCAAACGATGATCCTCCCAGATCTCGGCCTCCTGAACTAGGATTACAGGCGTGAGTCACCACGGCTGTCAACTATATTCTTATGCAGAAGGAACCCGGGAACAGGAAGGCTCAGCTAAGTCTAGCAAGTCAGGCAGCCAGACCTGGAAGCTGTCCCCCATCCACAAGGGGAGAGGGAGGCCGGACGCCCAGGCCTTACACAGAGGACAGAAAGTGCAGTGGTGGCCGGGCTGAACAAAGAAGACAGACCGGAGAGCATGCACTGAGGACACACCCCTGGTGGGTGCCCGAGCCAGCGCGGCTGCTCCGAGCAGAGCCTGCCCGAGGCCCAGGGCTGCTGTCAGCTGAAGGAGCCCGTGAAAGGCTGTGCGACCCATCACCTGACGGACCGGTTGGGAGTGCGGATACAGAATCCGTGGAGGGGGGGGCCCCACCATTCTCCCGCGCCTCCCCGCTGGCTCCCTTCCACCCCCCAAGCCTGTAAGCCGTGGTGGGAGCTTTTGTGAGCCCACAAAAGCCTTTGGGCCTGCCGAGCGCTCAGGTTTCTGCAAGCCTTTTAACCTGCTGCAGACAGTTCCACGTTGTCAGGAGGCTGGCGGGGCGGTGGGGGTCCAGTTTCAGCCCGGTGGGAGGGGTGCAGGGCGCTCAGACACCAGACACCAGGGGCGGGCCTCGGGACGGGAATGGATTCTCGTTCAGTGTCAGCAATGATTAACCGACGTTCATATCAGAGAATTCACAGACGGCCGGGCCTCAGGAATGTGTGTGCAAAGAGTCCAAATGTGGCATGCACCAGCTATGAGGCGCCATTCTCCAACACAGCGGGGTTCAGACTGACCCACAGCAACCTCCGGGAATGCGCAGGGCAGAGACCCCGCACCAGCTGTGAGGGAGGAGCCTCCCGGGGTGACGCTGTGTGGGAAATCTGGTTCTGCTGCATGGGTCTCATCTTTGCCTTCTTGGCTTCCCCACCAGAATACAAGTCCCCGGGGCAAAGGCCATGCCTGCTGTAACCACAGCTGCCCCAGGGCCTGGGACGGGGTGGGCCACACTGGGGTAAGATGCACACGCCCCTTCGTGTAGTTTTGCCTGCGCTGTGGTGTTGGCAGGCCAGGCACTGCCAACGTTCGGGGAACCAAACGGCCACATATCAAAGGGCCAGCTTTGCCAAGCGGTAAGACAGCCTCCATGTTCCCAGACTGAGCACAGGGCTGGGTTTCTCCGCCAGAATAAAATGGCTGTGTGCCACAGACCGCACCAGCCCTGGGCGTGGCACAGCGAGGCCTGGAGCTGCCTCTGACCACAAAGGCCCGTCTCCTCCCGCCGCTGCCCACTGCACACACGCAGGGTCTCTCCTCTCGTAAGTCACTCCCCGTGGCTTTAACAGCAAGGGTGAAAACAGGAGCCCAGGTCTTTCGGGCATGCGCCCTGAAGGCGTGGGGCCCTGGGGCCCTGGCTGCCTGCGGCTGGGGCAGCGGCTGGGAACCAATCCAAGCTGTCAGAGCGCTGAGGTCCCCTGCACAGCTCCGGCGCCCCGACTCCATCACCTGCCTGTGACCTGGGTCAGGTGGCGTGCTGCCCTGGGCCAGGCCAGGCTCCCACCTGGCGGGCTCAAGCCGACATGGTGATGAAGGGTCCGGAAGCCCCTGCAGAGGGCCGCATGCCGGGCAGCCACCTCGGCCTCCTGGCCTACATGGGGCGCAGCTGTGCATGCCCAAGGTCGGCACCGACACAGGACAGGAGCCGCACCATCTCTAGTGACCATCACTCCCAAAGCCAGGCGGCACCCTGACCTCTGACCCCTGGACGGTGGGCAAGATCGG